CGAATAAGCTCAAAGGTGTTTTGTATTTTTTTGGTTTCAAAAACTTTTTCAGCGATACACGGCAACCTTCAACAAGAACTCCCAACGACGAAGGCATTCATATCCACGCCATAGCTCACGCCAAACATCACATCATCTCCGTCACTTGTAAGTTGAGTTGCAGTTTTTTTTCATTTTTGAAACCCCTATTCGTTCCAAAAACATCAGATGATTCCAAAAGCTCGGTCCCAATTTTCTATTATATTAACTGCCGCTTATCAACGCAGTTCGCGCCCCGAAACCTAAGGGCTCAGGCTAATTGTAAGGGCAAAAGTCTTGACACCAGTCGGGACTCATTGTCAAATCCGCAAATCCGCGCCTCACGCGTTTCGGGCGAGCGCCCTATCCGTTACGCCGGAGCCGCTCTCACCCATTACCTTATCGCCAGGTCCATTCTTTCCTTCTCAGCCCTGCTGGTAAGATAATAGGTAAGAGCGAGTTTCTGTACCATGGAGCTGAGGGGGTAAGAGTGGGCCCCGGTGGCATCCTGAAAGCGTTAGGTGCGGATGCGAGTCACGCCTGGGATCAAGACTTCTGCCCATAACTCAGCATTCTTGTGATAACTTAGCCTCAATATTCTGAAACATTTCAGCGATTATCGGTTTGGCGGTGGCCGGCCTGTTGGCGTTGCTGCTCGCGATTCTTGTGTGCTACATGAGATCTCGTCCAGAAGGTGTGTACAAAACGAACGAAGGTGAATACAGTCCGTCACGAAGTGAAGAACCGTTGGTGAATGGGGTACCAGTTGGTGGAAAGGAGTACTTTTGTTGAAGACCGTTCCACGATGGATGGATGGGCGGAGACTCATGACCACTGCGCTTTTCTCATTGGTGCGCCCGATTCGAAGAGAAGGACACACTAATGAGAAGGGCAGAATGGCCCATTCGATTATTGTGGAACGTGTCTTTCCTCTCCTTAGAGCAGACTATTAAGCCGACCTCACTTCTAGTACTTAAGGTGTACTTTGGTAGCTGACGAAATTTCTTTTGTGATTTCCGATCTCGTCTTTCCTTCACACATATTCCGGGTTTAGAGACCAACTCTGCATCATGTTCATACTGTACTTTTGTAAATCATTCGAAACGGGTATTCTATGAACGGTGCAGTACACGTGCCAATATCGCGTTTTTTTTTTTTTTTTTTTTTTTTTTTTTTTTTTTTTTTTTTTTTTTTTTTTTTTTTTTTTTTTTTTTTTTTTATTATAAATATTATGTCCACCGGACAATTTTGATCCAATACTGATGGCACATGTCAAAGATCGAACCGGGTTTAAGCAGGTAGAAGTTGTAGATAGAGAGAAGCTCCACGTCGTTTTTGGTGGGCAGGGTGAAGCGTTGTGGGGGGGGGGGTCGGGTTTGGCCGTCCGACAGCACGTTCTCCATCAATTGTTGAAGCGGGCAAGCGACCACAATTAGTAGAAAACAGGGTAGTTCTGCGCCAGCCTCTCCTCATGGCACGCCCCAACATATACAGCGAATCCTTATATAGAACTTTTGTGATTATGTAAAGAGAAAATGACACAAATACAGATATGCATAGTATTAGGAAAGTCAGGTAATCACAGATAGTAAGGGATCAACCTAATTGATGGCAGTTCCTCTTGCAATTCCTTAGTCTTTTCGACTAGAGGATTCTCGCAGTAGAGGAATCTTTCCAACGAACACATGCCCCTCAGAGCAGGCAAAACACATTCTGCTTCATCCAGCTGACAAGCGCCTAGCGAAAGGAATTTCAGGTTGCACAAAGTGGAAGTGGCGGATAGTCTGAAATAGTCATTCAAAAACGATGTAATATCCCAGCTTGATGCTTCCTTGGAGTGCGTTCATACTTTACGTCACCGTTTTGAGCGTACAGCAGCCTTTAAGCGTACGCCAACGTTTCGAGCTTTCTGAGCGACCAGGAAAATATAAGTATTGATCCATACCAGCGAACGCTCGAGATGCTGGATCGATATCTTTACTTTCCCAGTCCTTCAAAACGCTTAAACACTGTCGCAAAGTATAAACACACTCTTATTAACTCGTAACTTGGGCTGATTCTTTTGGACTTTCATGAAAGGCTGGGGAGGCAGGGGTGAGGTACTAACTGCAGTTCCATTCGTGCAGAGATTTCGTGAGGAAGTCTGACTACCGAAAGGTTTTCCTTCTAGTGTTCAGCGGATTCAGTCGGTAACCGCTCTGGTCCTACGGTAATTGCATGGCGTCTCTGGCCTAGCCGATGTTCGATTCTCTAGCAAATACGGCAGCGTCCCGGAGCGAAAGGTCTCCAGAAAGTGCATGCGAGAGAAAGCTTTCAGGCTGAAGCAAATATCGAAGGCCTTCTCGAGCTCTACGGTGATGATTCACCTTCTCGTGATGGCTGAAGCAGTGTTGGAGAGCTTTCTTCTGGTCATAGAGAAGCATATCAGTGATGATTTCACGTTGCTCCTTTCATCCACCTTGTCCATTGTGCGACATGAACTTTCATAGAGCGTGCGTGTAGTGACTTTTTCACGCCTGCCCCTTGCTCCAGATCAGAAAATAACAAAACGAACCAGATGACTAGACTAACCTCTTGATGGGATTTTCGTTGGCTGTGAGATACTCAAGATTTGGCAATAACACTTCATCGAGACTTGACAGCTGATTGCCGCTGACATCCAGATGGGTTACCAAACCTGCCAGAAGTTCCACTCCATCCAAGCTGGAAAAAATCGTATAAGGAGGCCTTGGCCTTTGCAAATATCGAGACCAGTGCGTTTTAAAACTATCAGCGGCGCTATACCAGAAGAAAGAGGCATCCAACGACAAACAGTTTACTCACCTCCGCGCACCCCAGTCCAAGCAATTTGTGGGGAGATTAGGTCCGCGGCTGCCACGAGGTGCCACTTTCTCCGGTCAAAAGTGGACGGGAAGAAGCTGCATAGTAATCATCGCGCAGCCGGAGGACCGGCCACACGTCCAACCATAGCCAAACGCGTTGATTGCCTGCGCTTTTTCACTTCTGATTGTTCTCTAACTCTAACTGCGTGTTTGCTGGGAGGTTTCAGTATCGAAGCGGGTGCTAACTTGAAGATTACACGGGTAAACGTGGAGATGCCACTCGAGTAAGATAACCCTCCAGCCCCGTCCCCCGAGCATTTTTGGGCGGAGGAACGGCACGCTACTGCGGCTGTGGATCCATCAACCTCGCACGTGGCAAGGGCCTCGCAATGGCAACGTCCTAAGAGGCGAGTGTATTTTGACCCAGGAGGGATAATTGAGCTTTGGAGTAATGAATCAACCCCTCCCCCCTACGGGAAAGTTTCCTCGCATTACAGTATTCTCAGTTACGCGATGAGTCTTCAAAAGCCCCCTGCCCTAGTGGAGTGAAACCAAAGAAGCTGCTTCTACACCAACCTCGATATTTGAGCATTTCGAATTGCCAGATCACTCTGCTTGCCATCCATAAGCAGCTCAAGAAGTGGACAACCGTCAACTTCTTCTCGAAGAATTCGGTTCAATATTTGACGGGAAGCCAATTTCTTGTATATCTGAATGGAAGAAAATTATAGTTCACCAAGAATCGAGCAGAGCACTACTTCGGAATACCTCTTTTCTTTTCTCATCAAGTTCAGTGGCCAATTTCCCTAAATTTTCCAAAATCTCTGTATGACACTCCGCTGGGCGAGTTTCCATTAGGCATAAGGTGTACATATAGCGAGCCCACTAAAAATATATTATATCAGAGCAACTACAACAAAAAAAAAACAAATAATAAAAAGGTCGTATTTTTGATATGACCGAAACTTGGAGCTGGAAATGTTGAGCTTGGGTGACGAATAATTTGCGACATGTAAGCTGCACATGAAGTTGGTCAGGAGATTCAGGTTGCGACAAGGCGACACGACAAAAACGACATTGCAGTTGTCACGCGCGCGAAATTAGAACCAAGGCCTAGAATAAAAGTGCCTCCGTATGTCCAAACTGGCTAGGTAATTCTAGCTATTTGTACGTGACGCCGCACCATAAACCTCCCGACCGACAGCTCGCAAGTCAGAAAGTTCGGAGACTATGCTGTTCAAAAACTGAAGACTCAACTTATTGTAAGATAGTTAAATATCACGCTTTGGCCGCGTTCAGACTTCGCAATGATGCGCTAGGTCGCTGTAAAACGCAGTACCACTGCAGTGATAGAGGCGGTACTGCAGCCACCGGCTGGTGGTCGATTAGCGCTGGCTGCTGGTGCTTCTCGAGATTACAGGAGCATAGGAGGGCATCAGAGTGCGTGATTAGGCGTAGCGCAACCTCCTGTTCTCCTACACCTTGTCAAAACACTAGAGGTCGCACCGGTCGACCCGCCTATGGTTGCGCTACGCCTATGGTTGCGTGTCATTGCCATATTGGGCTATGGCAATGACACGTCGTCGACGCTCATCATTGTGAAGTATCAACTCTGCCTTACCATATTTTTCGGCTCCATTTCCATCAGTTGCTTGCAGTTGTCCGTTATGGTCGTTATGGCAACATTCGGTTTGCGAATCGTCAAGTCAAACGCTCCTTCCGAAGAAGTTCCTTAAAAACAATCGTTTTCGCGGATGAAGGCAATAATGCATAGAAAGTGCAAAATTAAGCATAACCAAGGAAATCGCTTGGCTCATAAAGCAAACGCCTAAAAGGCCTTGTGGAAGCATCTATCAGTTAAATCTGGTACTACTCGAGTCGCGTCCACTACTTTCGCGAGTATCACAGGACTGACCTTGTTGACATATGGCTTTTCCGAGACATCTACTACTTTCTCTTCATCGACGTTGAGACGCACAGTACACGGCACATCGGACATACACTGCCAGATTCTCGCCGACGCTGGCTGTGTAGAGAACGCGGAAATCTGAAAGACAACTTATTTTCAGCCACTGCTATATGAAGATTAGGCCTGCCCCGACCTAGAAACTTGCCTAGACCGCTTCCTCCGACTGTTCTAAACTGCTACTGTTATAGCGATACCAACTTCTTATTGGGCATAAATCGATGAA